CAAACATCAAATCAAATCAGATTAAAATTAAAAAAACAACTATAACCCCCCCCCACACACACACACACACTCACACAAACACACACACATACACACCATTTTTATGTACACCACCAACTATTTTTTCCAGACCCGAGCTGCCATGCTGCTCTTCAAAATGCCAAACACTCAAAGCCCTGCGCACACACACACACACACACACACGCACACACACACACACACACTTCGCTTTGCGCCCCAGTTGTATTTTAGGCTCAACTTTCCCTGGAAAGATAGCTAACGGGCGCAAACAGACAGGCTGCATTTTACTTCAAGGCACAAGAGTTTTGACAGGCTGTAGTCTGATTTTTAACAGACATCAGTAACTCACAAAGAGATGTTGTTTCAAACACAAATCCACATTGTTTCATTTCCTGAACGCTTTCCCCTCTTTTTTGTCTCTTTGTCTCTTTTTGTCCCTTCAGGACTGAGGACTCGGGTCTGCTCACCCATAAGGAGAGTCTGCCGGTCAGGTCTCTGGTGCTGGGGGACGTTAAGAGGGCCGGATCAGAGGCAGCCTACAGGGTGGGACCGCTCCGTTGTCATGGAGACAGTAAGTTGTCTCATCATCCAATTTTCAGACATAAGCACCAATGCAATGAAATGCATAAAAAATCAAATCTATTCAAAATGTAATCAAATTCATAGTAATCCAATCAGTTTAATATTTTCAAATAAATATCAATTTAAACAGTGCAGAAGATTTAAATGGAATGATTTCAAAATCATCTCAACCAAAAGTAAGATAAAAATAAAAAAGATAAAATAAAATAATGGAGGCAAAGTGGATTTAATTCTATAGCACAATTCAACATCTAAGCAATTTGAAGTTCTTTACATGCACATAAAAATATTAAAGCTACATTTACAGTATATAAAATAACTCCTAAATGTATGAAGGCACTTTTAAAAGTAATTAGAGCCTTGCTTAAGGCTCTGTGGTGAGCATGAACAGACCTTAAAGGCTGGATAAACCACGCTGAGAGAGCCACAGGTGCCTCTCGCTCTGCTTTGTCAGCACATCGTCCAGCTTGATCTAAATGGGCTTTTTGTTAAAAGCATTATTATATCATGTGTGGTTCCAGGGAACTTCTGGAACGCAGCGTTTTTCGACAAGGAGACGTCCTACCTGCACTTCCCCACCTTCCATGGCGAGCTGAGCGCCGACATCTCCTTCCTGTTTAAGACCACCGCCTCCTCTGGGGTGTTCCTGGAAAACCTGGGAATCAAGGACTTCATCCGCATCGAGCTGAGCTGTGAGCGTTAAAAAAAATAACTAGCTGCCTCCAGTCTTATTTACTTTTGTTGGGACTTTTTTTGATCGCCCTTCGAGGGGAAGAAAACCTTTAAAACCCTATTTTAAAGGGTTGTGATGAGTTTTTTTTTTTTTTTGGCTTCATTGATTGTATTTCAGCCTTACTCCTCCAACAGGGATGCACGCAGCACAGCGTGTTAAGCGCCAAATTGTTAACATGATTAAAACCATAATGGGAACCCGTAATTACTGCAGGTGTTTCCGTGCCCTTGTTTTTTAATTTTACACTCTTCTTATGAAGTCTCCGGGGCACGCGTGCGCCTGGACCCGCCATTAATTTCTCTCCCCCTCGTTTAAGGCACACATTTACGGGCCGAACAGCGGGACATTTAGATTATGACGGTAATAACCTGCGGGGTGTTATTCGGCTGGTGGGATTGCAGCTGGCTGGTCGGATGAAGGGTTTCAGTACTTCTGTAGCTCATATTGTTCAGATGGTGGCTGTATAAACCCAAACAAGGTGCTTTTCCAGCGTGCACGGCCATGGCATATTACAGCACATTATGATGCCCCCAATTACAGCATAGCCTGCATGGCTGTTGCTTATTCGGATTTCCATAAGCTCCCGTGGAGTTATTGGTCATTTGTGGTGGCATTAAGAGGCAGTTTACTTCTACCCGCACTTTGCTCTGTTTGTATTTTTTGCATTTGGGGAGAAAGTTGTGCCCGTTGTGGGATTCAGATGCACGGATTCCTTTACGGGGGACATAAAGCCATAAGTCTCCTCGGGGGAAATCATTGTCAGCATGCTGCCTTTTTTTTTTTCCCTTGCTCTGAATACCGCAGCTCTGCTTCCATCGGCCTCACATTGCTCTGCAACGTTGTAGCCGGGGCCAGGAACAAATGTCGAAATTAAGTTATCGCGGGAAGCCCGGGTTATTTTTTTTCCGGCTCGTTTCCGGGGTCCCTCAGCAATACATCCCCCACCTTCCACCGGCGAAAACATGAAGGATGGCGGCCTGCTTCGTCTGCGCTCTCTTAAATCTTCCCCCCTGCCGGTGGAGAAAAACAAATAGAGCGGGGCGGACAGCCGGAGAGTTAATACAGACGTTCAGCAGGCAGGAGCTGTCCGTGGTGCTGGAGCTGGCCCCGGTGCTGAATTATGAGGCCGGGAGGAGAATTTAGCTCAAGGCCTTCCATTTTTATTTTAGATAAAAAAAAGTATTTCTATCTCCTCTCTCGCTACAGAACGGGGAAACTTTTCCGCACAGGACAGGACTTTAATGGGAAATAGATACGGGCTTAACGGGATGTCTCCTCCGGTCCGTTTGCAGATCCATTTAATGCAGCAGATTCGGTCAGGGGATGCGTTACAGCAATAGGTTAGCACCGTTAGTATGTTCAGGCGCTCGTCGGGAGACGTGTTTGTGTCGGAGCTTATCTGAACACAGCAGCTCATGAAAATGAGCAAACGCAGACTTCACCAGATTAGAGGGACTTCCCGTCTTTAACTCATTACTCTCTGTCACAGCGCCCAGGGGGAAGCTTGATTTTTTTTTTAAAAAGCCCAGACTTTTCTCACTTGTTTCCAACGTTTTGCTCAGTTTTTGTAGGGTTTTCAGGTTAGTTAGCATCTTTCCTCAGCTCGCACCAGCACGAAACTTGCACTAAAGTGATGACAAATGCAACGTTTCTTTCTAGTGGGTTAAGAAAAAAGGCATGAAAGGAAAAATGAAACATCAAAGTGACGGCGCACGCTGCACAGTGCATATATTAATAATTGTATGGCCATTAAAAGAACAAGAAAGGCAGTTAAACCATGACAGCCGCACTGTAAAGCACCTTGCAAGGTTGAAAAGTCCCTGTAAAAGTCCGGATCCATCTGTAACAGAACATTTTACCAATCGGGAAAGAAAGAGACCACCATCATTTTTCTCTCAATTTATCTTTGTATTCTTCTGGTTTCCTCTGAGAACTGCTCCCAGTCTGTTTTCGTTAGAGGCCGTGCTGGCACCGGCGTTTGTTGTGTTGTTGTGAGAAAGTAATTAAATTTCATTCCCGGAGAGCCCTGCGTCCCCCCCCCCCCCCCCCCCCCGTCTGCCCACGTTGTCTCCAAACACTTGTGTCGAAGCAACCAGCTTGTTAAAGCCTCCCGTCTCTATTCCCGTTTGTGATATTGGCTCGTTTTGGGCTTGCTTGCGGGGAGCTTTGAGGGGGAACACAAGTGAGGATTGATTCCAGCTGTACTTGGCAAACCCCGCACCTGTCCCCCCCAGCAGAATCACCGGGAGGTTGAGCATTTGTCCAATTCTCATTAATTGAGATGCGGGGAGTGTCGACTGTTTCTGTAAATTAAATGCCTATTCTCCACAAAACGTCTCCTTATAGATTCTATCCTCCTCTGAATCACAGTGGCTGTCCCCTCCAGATTCGGTTCAGCTCGAAATCTGAAATGTTATCAAACTGCATTATTCATCTTCCCCCTCTCTTCTTGTTTTTTGTGTGTTTGGCTCCTCCTTTTCCTGGACCCAGCCTCCACACAGGTGGTGTTCTCCTTCGATGTGGGGAACGGCCCGCTGGAGGTCCGCGTGGAGTCCGACGTCCCGCTGAACGATAACCGGTGGCACCGGGTACGGGCCGAGCGGAACATCAAGGAGGCGTGGCTTAAGGTGGACGGGCTGCCGGCGGCCGTCCAGGAGGCTCCGGCCGACGGGCACTTCCACCTGCAGCTCAACAGCCAGCTCTTCATAGGTACGAGGCCCAGCCATTCCTGTTCAGGAGAAGGGAGAGCTGGAAAAGAGACGTGAAAACCTCACCTGATCCAAACTGAAAGTGCCTCCATCACACTTTTCCTTCTGATCTTTTTAATCCGATCTGTATCTTCTGCTCCAACTGACTGGCCAGTCGTTAAACTGTACTTTAGATCTTGTCCGGCAGGTTTAGTGTTTGTCTAATTTGTCCGTGAGTCCGTATCAGCCTTCAGGGCGCCTGTTCAGAAACACCAGACTTTTTGTTTTTCTTTAAAGTTCTCAGGATGATTCTGCCCTGTAGGACTGGACAGGTCCTCAGGCTGACCATTACAGCTACAATGCTGTTACACCAGACCTACATTTCTTTAGATACCTTTAGAAATTCACTTATTGCTCTTATGGAGGCGAGTGCATGCTTTTGTGTGAGGCTCCTAACGTGCTTTAAAGGTTTTAAATCCGACTCATTCTCACAGACTTTAGACTCTAGACTCAACTTTAATTATCCCTCGGAATTGCCCTTTCAGGAAATTCTGATTTTAGTACGGCCCGTTCGAGATCGTACTAAAAACAGACACATAGACACACGGGTCCGGGAAGACTGTGGGTCAGCCTCTATAGAAGCTCCCCCTTTTTTCTTCTGAAAAAAGATACATCGTGCCGGTTTGGAGAAGCTTGGTGGAGCTCCGTTGGGAGTGAAGGCTGGCTGCGTCTGCACGCTTTGCATTCGTTTGGTCTCAGTCAGAGCAGCCACAGGACAAATCCACAGGATAAATCACGGTTATCTGATCAGTTAAAAGGCTCCCGCTTTGTCATCTTAGTTCTGTCGCTCCCTTACATCAGGATCTGTCAGATATTTCTTCTCTCCTTTGCCTGTTTATTTCGGAGGCACACGGTACTCCATAACAGTCAGTGTTTCTGAGCCAAATATTCTAAATAAATACTGTCCTGTTTGGGTTTATTAACTACATGGCACCGAGGCAGAAATGACACCAGGGCTGCAGGTATCTGAACCGTTTGTTAGGGCCAAACATCCCTTGATGGTTCTGTCTTTAACCTGAATCAGGTTTTCTTGTCTGGGGACCATTGAAATGAAGCCCACCAGAGCCCAGCAACACTTTAAGGAAGAGAGGTGAATATTTACATGAGCGGTTGCTCACCTAAAGATGCTATTTATGATATTTTGAACAGAAAAAATGTGCAGAGCCAGTCTTTGCACCAATATCAGACTCTCATTTAGAGCTTGTTAGCAGCTTCCTGTTGCCCAGATTTGTTTTGTGCCACTACGCGCTCATTATAAAAACAGCAGACTTTGATTAGACACAAACTACACAATGCCCGGGTCTTAGAAAAAGAGTTCCCACTTTAAAATAAGCCACGCAGAGTATATTTAAATACTGAACTCTCACAGCAGAGTTAGTTTCTGCTAGTTTTGTCTGGAATGGTGAGACGTTCTGAGAAATCTGACAAATGCATGAGCTTTTTCTTTTTTTTTCTTTTTTTTTACCCACACACAGAGGGAAGCTCTTTGAGGATTTTAGGACTGAGGAACAGCTTATTATTTCTCTCATTTGAAAGAAAAGAAATGCAACCCGAGTTGGGGTTTGATATAGCCTGACTGTAAAGAGCGGAGCCATGTCTGCTTATCTTACAACAACAGATTAAATAACAGAAATATATATAAGTCTGTCTGCTGGTTCTCTAATCTGAGGAGGTTCCCTCATTAACTGCTCCACATTCAGCCTAATAGATAAAGCCCCGGAATGAGGAGAGTAAAGAAAAAGTAAATCACGCAATATAAAATAACCCCAAAACTGAACATGCATCCCAGGCAAGTCTATTCATTTTAAAATGTTTTAATCATTTATTTATTTGTCTCCCAGCCTGATGACAGTCTTCAGGACTAAACTGTTTGTGTGGAACATGCTGATGAGAAAAAAGTCCACGCATTTCCTTAGACTGAGATGAGCGACAGGTAAGATCTGTCCTCTTAAAAAAAGGCTTTTGGGGCTTTGGCAGCATTCTTTATAATAAGCATTCACATCAGCTCAGCTTTACCATCGAAATGATAACATTCATCTTATTTGTAGCTGAAATGCTGCCATCCACTTCCCCATTATAATGATAATAACGTGCATTTATATTGCTCATTTTGAAGGGATCCAGTGTTGATTTCTAATCCTTCCAACAAAAACTGTGTCAATACAATGTAGTTAAAAAGGCAAAGCTATTGTGTTTACATATACATAAACATTTTGGACTTGATTATTAGTCGTACTTGATAATAAGACAGTAAATGGAATTGTTTTGACTACCCACTCATCATTTAGTTTTGACGGATCATAATCCAGCTCATAGTACAATATCCAGTTTCTTTTTATGTTTTTTTGTCCCCAACACCAAGTGTAAAATTTCCCCACACAGCCGTTTGGAATGAGAGATTTTTGCATTCACTGCGTGTGACTTGTTGTGTTGCCTGCTCCGGACCGATAAGCCGCTGGTTATTTGTGCTGCGCTGGCATCGGTTTGAGCAAATCAACATTTTGCGCTGCACAGTAGGAGTCGTTTTCTTTCCCCTTTTGTTGAAGAAGCGCTGTAATCAGTGGCGTTTTTTCTTCACCGAAACAATCGCCGCTATCCCGGGCCCCGATCGTCTCTATCTCTGTTAATCTAATCACACTTGCTCATGTCCAATTACGGCCCGTTCTCCTCCTGCCTGCAGCCAAAGCCGCAACGGCACTTCTACTGAGGAAATAAGCCGATTTACAGCTCGCCCATTAAAAATATGGTTTTAATTAAATGTCAGAAAATGGCTAATATTTCAGCTTATACTGCCTTTATGTTTTGTGTGTAATTGTTAAACAACTTTCGGATTTTCAAAGCAGACAAGGAATTTAAGACTGAAGCCTTCTAACATATTCGCCATTTCTCTATTTCCTGTCATTAAGCACAGCCGGGAGTCAGCAGCTGCTATTTTAAAGTATTTTGTGCAGGATGAAGTTATATAAAGTGTTATGCAACGTGATAAGATCCAGTCAATGTGCAGGTAACTTGGATAAGAGCTGGACTAGTTCATGGTTGTGTAACTTTCTAAACTTTCTAAAGTTCAGTCCTAAAACCAGCTGCACGGCCATTGGACCTGCTCTGATTTAATCTGCTTTTTAGAATATTTGAGCACAATAATGCCCATCTCTGGATTTTATCACCCGCCAAAAAATTGATTTTTCTTAGGTTTTCTATGGTTTGCAGAATCGGTTTAAACCAAGCTATACAGAAGAGGCACCATGTTTGGCAGCAACCAAACTGCATTATTTGGTTTAAACTAGTGGAAAACATGGACGTTACGTATCACTCACACGACCCGGGAGAGATCCAAACCAACCAGCCCGACCTAAAATATGCTGGCCCCATGAAAAACCAAAGGACCCTTCTCACAGCCAGTGTTTGGTTTGGGTTTTTGGGGGGTATTTTTCTTGTTTTTTCTTGTTTTGTTTTTTACAGTGGCCCAACATGAGTGCAGAAAACACCCTCTCTCTCTTTTTGCTGATCCCCTGCATTTCAGATATGCTTTCTGATGCTGTCTCGGTTCCTCTTGAGCTGACCTCGGTTTCACAAATTTCCCAAAATGTCCATGCTGCTCCAAAGCAAAATCTTGAACAAACAAGGTTGGATTGGTGCGAACCCACAGCTGGTGTAGCCACAACACACTGGTGCACAAAAAGAAAACACACTGGTGTACAGAGAGAACAACCCACTGGTGTATAGAAAGAGAAAAAGATTGAGGTTGAAATGCTCAACGAGCAGGTTTAGCTTTAGCTTTGGTTCTGCGAAGTTTCCTGATGGTTAAAGGTCTCATAATTTAAGAAAAACAACCAGAACGAGCCTTTTCTAGGTCTTTTTCTCTTTGTTTTTGTATGAAACATTACCTAACCCATAACAATGTACTCATGTATGATATATTTTGGAAGCTCTACATTTCAACAAGACTAATCATTATTAGGAAAGCACTCATGTTGTTGGTTCCTTCCATTTAAATTGACCTGAATGAAAGTAAAGCTGTTTACAACATTGCCTTAATAGACACTTATCATAATTACTTCACTTCCAACAAAGTGCAGTTATTATGAAATTGACAACAGGACCAAATTAATTTTGCCAACAAGATTAATTTGGTACTATTTAGATATATTTTCAATTAAGAAAAAAAAAATCTTAATGAGACTAGTTATTTTTATTTCTGTCCTGCAGGTATTTTGCTTGTATTGAATATACATCGTTCAAAAGGTAATATTTGATGCGCTGTTTTATTTTAAATAGTCTATAGATGTTTTTCTTCCGGTTACTGAATGTTTAAACACAAAGATCACTTAGAATAAAAATCAATCTCAGTATTTCACATATTCTTATATTTTCATATCAAACTCCCATTTGGTTTAACCCCCACAGCGACCTGTGATTATTTAATTGTATCAAAAAGTAGAGATGAGGCTAAAAGATAAACCATATCTGGGATCTGAAGTGCATGCACCATCTTCTTTGTGACACTCACACCTTGCGGTTCTTTTTTTTCAGGGTACAAAACAGGAAAAAATATAGATGTTAGGAAACTAAAACCATCACCTCCAGCAGTGACAAAGGTTTTAGCTCATTTGCATCCTTTATGAGACTTTCCCTCATTTCTATGTTTCAGTGGAGGCAAACCTTCCCAATCGACTGTCCACTTTTCATTCTATTATAGATTTGTAGCCGTATTTTGATTGCTTTTTCCATGTAGTTTATTAATTTTTTGATTGTTCATGTGACTTCTGGTATATTTTCCTATTTGGCTGCACTTTTGTGGGCCACCCCAGCCAGAGAATAAACAACAAAAGGCTCCTAACAGGGTTGCTGTTCAACATCCTGGTCCTCCCTACAGAAAAAAAAAAGAAATATACACATTCATTTGTATATACGACAGCGTTGGTCTGGTATTTTTGCAGAACTCGCTTCTTTTTGAGGTGCTCTCCTTCACTGTGAGCTCAGCTCTGATTTAACGATGTGCAGAGCTGTCATTGCTGAGCAGCAGGACGCGGTCGGCCTCAAAGCAAAGAGCCGCTTTGTTTGAACTGGAGATCGCAGCCGCTCCAGCTTGTGATCTTTTTGGAGAAACGTTCGTTTGCTCGTGTTGTTGATGACTTTCCTGCCGCGAAACGCTCCACCCTGAGATCTGTAAGCCCTGAAAGAAACAAACACGCAGAGAGGGTGAGATAGAGGAGAAAATGAGCGGAGAAATGTTTTGGGAAGACTTCAAAGATGCTAAAATCCACTTTGGAGAAATGCATTAAGGCTGCCAGAGTCCATCAGCAGCCGGACGGATGGACTGGACATAAGCAGCCAGTTAAAAGCCTCATGTCCTTGTTTCAGAACCACTTTTCAAAGTTTTCATTGTCTCTATCTCATAGGAGTGTTGTGACGTGTTGGAGCTTCTGGGGGAGATGATTCAGGGATCAAATTTAATAGACGAGGAGAAACGGAGACAACAGACAAATAAACTGTGCTGATTTTTCTGCTTTTTTTTAAGACATAGGAGGAACTTACAGGCTGGGGATTTTTTCCATTTCAGCCCAGGCGGACATGAGAACATCATGTGTTCAGCTGGAGTTTTTTCCTTTGTCTTTCAGGGGGCACGGCGTCCCGGCAGAAGGGCTTCCGGGGCTGCATCCGCTCCCTGCAGCTGAACGGCGCCCCGCTGGACCTGGAGCAGCGGGCCCGGATCACGCCGGGGGTCCGGGCGGGCTGCCCCGGCCACTGCAGCAGCTACGGGGGGCTGTGCCGGCACCAGGCGCGCTGCCTGGAGAGGGCCAGCGGCTTCCACTGCGACTGCAGCCACACGCCCTACGCCGGGGCCTTCTGCAGCTCAGGTACGCCAGCGGGAAAACGCTCTGTAGAGGTCCGCGAAGTCTGACTGAAGACAAGGGTGGAACTCAGATAGGACTCAGATGCGGAGATGCTGTTCAAAAGGTTTATTAAACCCAGAGCGCACCCTTAAAGAGTGGAAACAAAGTACAAACTAAAAATCGCTCAACGAGGAATGTTTTCGGAAAAGTGTCAAATCAAAATCACTCAAAAAGGCGAGTAAGACAAAAGGCTATGAAACAAAGTAACAAAATAATATTCACGAGCTTTGGACGAAAATAAGGAGGACCGGAAAACAAAATGACTCTTTCGAGGTTAAACAAGAAACAAGGCAAGATTAGTTTGGAGGACAATGTTAATGCTTAGTAAGGGTCAAAAGACAGAACACACTGGCACTAGACAAGAGGAAACGTGGACTATTTAACACATGAGGGAAAGGGAACCCCAGGTGAACACAGCAGCTGATCAGGAAGAAAATTGGACAGATGACACACCGGGAAGTGCAAGTGACCTGAAATGAGATGAGGGTTACTGTTGAAAATAAAACAGGAAACGAGACCACATTGAGACAGGACAAAAAAACCCAGCTAGATAATACCGCTGTGACAACTGAAAACTAGCCTGAAACGTGCTCATAGCAGCAGAACTACAGACAGAAATCAGATCAGGTGGAGAAGAATAAAGGCTGTGAAACTAAAGCTCAGCATGGAGAGGAGCTCTGAGGAGTCACACTTTGGAAAGAGTTTCAATTTCCAAAAAAGACTAAACATTATTTTATTTTATTTTTATTTTTTTTACCTTGTCCTGTTCAGCATTATGGCAGCACAACGGAAATTTGAATACCGTGCTCTGCTGAACAAAATTGCTTTGCCAAAGGAGGCTTTGTTAGTTAGAGGCCCCCCTTGATTACCCAAAACTTTGCTTTATTTATTCATTTTTTATACCAAACTTACATGTGCCTAATAATGCCAAACCTTACAGAGGGACAGGGAAGAGAGAAGAGCAGTGATCCTTTAGAAAGAAAGAGAAATGGAAAAGAAAGAAAGAAAGAAAGCTGCTATGTCTGTAAAAAGGACACTGTAAACCTTCTAACTTTAAGTTTTTGTCTTAACACTGAATTGCATTATGCTTCATCAAAAGGGCTCGTTCACTTTCTCTGACCTCTCTTTCTAAGAGAGCTGTCCACCCACCAACTTAATGCCAAGAGCCTCTTCACGCCTTCATCACCTCTTTTCTGCTTTATGTCCACTCATCAGCAGCCGAGGTTAAACCGGTGGGTTGGCTCTCAGATCCCATCGTTCTTTAAGCACTTCTGTTTTTACATGATCAGATTGAGGAACTGAGATGCAATTCAGCTACACAAATCTGCCGTGGTGAACAGCACCTCCATAAAAGAAAACAATAAAAAAAACATGCAGAGATGTTCCACCATCAAGGCCGGAAAATCAAATCCATTTGGTTGTTTTTTCATATTCGTATGCATGAATATCTCGTGGTTTCCCCTAAAATCGAGCTGTTTCGAGGGAGTTATCTTCTTTATGTGATGAAGCTCCACTGTTCCAATGCGCTAACAAAAGAAGCAATAAACAGTTTTCTTTGTTGATGAGGTAATATCCTCCTTTCCTTGTCATCACCGCAACTCGGATACTACATTTTACCCCCCAAAAAGGAAATATCCTCCACCTGAGGTCCCTCCGATTGAGGATTTATTCTGCTAGAAGACAACTTCTTATCAGCCACTTAGAGAGCATAGAAAATTCCACTTTAAAGGATAAAAACTCATATGTGACTAAACTGAAAGCATAGATATAGAAATGAAATGAATTCAATAAGAGAGAAGTTAGACAGACTCCCTCTGAGTGGGCGTTTGCAATGTTAATAATCCATATTGTTCAGCAGAACCCTTTTCCACTCTTGCTGCACTTAACACTCACTAAAAAAAAAAATGAAAAAAGCACTTGACTACCGTGACATCAAAGGCCTCGTACATCAAAAGTCTGTTTGATGTGTTGGAGTCTATTTGAGAATATGTCGCCTCGCTGAACTTCATGTCTGGGTTCAGAAATTTCGTACGGCGAGGCAGTTTGGAGGGCTCTGCTCTCCCCGGTTCAATTCAATTCAATTCAATTTTATTTATATAGCGCCACATCACAACAACAGTTGTCTCACAGCGCTTTCCAAACAGAGCAGGTCAGACCCTACTCTGAAGTTAACTACAGAAACCCAACAATTCCCACCATGAGCAAGCACTAGGCGACACAGGCAAGGAAAAACTTCCTTTTAACAGGCAGAAACCTTGAGCGGTTAGCTGCTGTCTGCCGCACTCATCTGCATCCACAGCCGGCTGAGGCCCAGGGAAAGGATCTAAATTGGCTTTATGCGTCTGTGGAACTCGGCGGTGACTCAGCGAGCGTGCTCTTTATCTTTGATATGAATCAGCATTGGCCGGGGAAGCAATCACGCTCTCCCCGTTAATACTGATGAGCTCAGGAAAAAGCAAAAGGGGGGACGCTTCGCCGAGTGGAATTAAAATGAGGTTATTGCTAAATGGGTTTATCTGAGTCCCATCTAAAGTGTTTAGTTCTCTGGGGGGCAGGGGCTGGGGGGGGGGGGGGGGGGAGATCGTCCCAGGAAAACACGTTTCTGTGTCGGTCCCCTCCCAGGAAAAGGCAACAACAAGACATTTTGGAGCTTTGGCACAATCTAGGAAATACACTTTCACACGTTTTTTTTATTATTTAACCTGAAAAAAAAAACCTAAATGCTCTGTTCTCCAGCCTCAAAAAGTCTGATTGGTCCTTAACCTTTTAAAGCCTGATCCAAGAATATAAAAAAAAACAGAAAATTACTTTTTGGGGGTTTCAAGTCTTTATTTGGCCTTTTAACTAAATAGGTAAAAAGAAAAAACAAAAATACGTTTTTGATATTAATAATTTATTACTATGCGATAAGTCAAGATATTTTTTGTGTAGTCTTCTGCCCCCTGTTATCAGGTGTGTCTGATTGTGTACAATGGGATTTCGAGCAAAGTTTTTAACATTAAATTATGCAAAAGGTGTCAGAGGCAAAACATTTCAGAAACAGTATGTATCAAATATGATACGTTTGGCATCACAAGGTTCATACTGACCCGTACGTAACCTGGCCGTTTTCTCCCAGAGGTGTCGGCCAGCTTCAAGCCGGGAACCTCGGTCAGCTACACCTTCAGGAATCCCGTTGAGCCGGGTGGAAACGGCAGCGCCCCGCCCTCCTCCGTCCCCCCCGACGGGTCCCTGAGGGGGGAGAACATGTCCCTGAGCTTCAGGACCAGCCAGAGTCCGGCCCTGCTGCTCTATATCAGCTCCAACCACGGCCAGTACCTCGCCCTGCTCATCAACAAGCACGGTGAGCAGCAGGAGACCTCTATCCCGGCTCTTTCCCCCGCCCTGTTTCTCTGATTGCTCGGCTCTCTATCTGCTCTCTGTCAGCTTCTCATCTGGCCTCTCCTCCCCTCTTCCTCTGGTTTTCACTCCCTGCGCCCTTCCTGAAATCAGCCTGTCCCGCTCAGATCCCATCTTCTGCTTTCCCGGTTCCCCCCTCATCAATCCCTGCTGTTTTTTAATCCATCCAGCCTTCTTGTTGTTATCGCGGACATCTGATGGGCCGTTCCACTGGAAAACTTCAGTTCCGCTCAACGGTCCCTCGGTTCTCGCACTGTTGAATAGAATTACTTGAAACTTTTTCCTTTTTGCCAAATAATTAAGTTGTTGCTTTTAAGGGCGAGGATAAAGACACTTTGAACTAAGGATTACATTTTTTACCATCCAGGGCCTTCGTAAAACAAGCACTTTTCCTCTCATTTAGCTGTAAGTGGATCCTTTCTGGGCTTAATGACCCGCCGAATGCGGATGGAAAGCAGGGCATTAAGGTTCCGCGTTGACCCTGGAGTCGCTGGGTAAATGCTCTTAAAACCAAGTGTCTAATTAAATTGCTGAGAGCTTTCTCTTGTTCACCTCCTTTCCCGCTGCGCAGCCGTTAAACCTCTTCAGTCCCACGCAGACAAGTGCTCGTTTTTTTTTTTGTTCCCAAGAACGAAAACGCACGTGTTCAGAATAAGCCGCAAGTATTTATCTTCATTAAAGGTGCTGCATGTGACCTTCATAACATCACAAAATAATCAAATTGGATGTTTTTTCTTCAATAGGAAATGACATCCTAGTCGTCTTGGCATTAACAACTTTATTAACCTGGATCTTCGTCGTTTTGATTAATAGCTGAGGGCAGAAGTGACCCTTCAAAGAGCAGAAATGGAGCTTAGAGGAGACTTATCAAGAGCTCAGAGTTTAAATTGGACAAAAAAACTTTGTGTGTGTGCAGACAAGCTGGAGGTGAGATATAAGCTGGACAGTGGCAGAGATCCGGAGGTGTTGAGGAGCGGCGTGAGGAGCCTGGCCAGCGGTCAGCTGCACTCCCTGACCATCAGGAGACTGTCACACACTGTGTCTGTGCAGGTAACACAACGCAATCATGCGGCTATCAGGAATTTCGGGAAGCCCTCCACTGGACGAGTGGGGCTTTTTTTTGTACCGGCCGGTGCTTCACACAGCTCTCACAGTTACAGCCTCATTAATGCAGAATGATTGTCGCGCCAAAAAAGGCCGAGAAATCCTCCCGTTCCTGAAGGGGACTGAATGCGTAATTCCTCTGATGAAGCCTCCAGTCTGAAGAGCGCCCGACGTGGTTTTGTGCTGGCTGAAAACACGCTTTTGATTGGAAAGGATCCTTTAAAATGTTCTTTTCTGACACATTTAAAAATGACTTCAAAAAGTCTGAATTTGTGATGTTTGCCTCATACTGCACACTTCCTTCATCTCGCGCCTTGAAGCCGACAAACATGCGTTCAAACGTCCTAAAAAAACGCAGACTGCTGCCCTGCATGCTGTCTTTATCAGCATTTCAGCTTCTACATGTGCCACTTATCTCGATTAAATGTGATTGCACTATAGGGACAGGAGGGATCAGTTGTGTTGGTTTGCATGCGGTCCACCCATTTACGATGCAGGAAAAGTCCCATGTCGACGCAAAAAAGATGTCAGGCTTGTTTAAAAAATTGTCTATGGCCAGAAAAAAAGACGGTTTGTTAGTGTGTAAAAAAGATTCCCAAATACAAAAAGTTAATCAAAATCACACCAATACAAGCAGAATGAATGCTGATGAACATCAATAACCCCAAAACCCTCAGAAGCCAAACACAGAATCGGAATCTGACAAGAAAATTAAATTCCAGTCCAAATAACCTTGAAGTTGTGAATCCTACTTGATTGTGAACAAACAGAGTCGGTGTTCCACAGCTGAATGACATGGAAATGTAATGCATGCTTAATGACGGGGCTCTCTGGTCTCCCGAGAAGCAAAACCAGCTCTTAGTGTCCAGCAAGTTAAGCCGTCCGGAACTAACTCGGACCCAATCGGTTTAGTGTTGCAGGTCAGCCGAAACAATCTGGACTTTAATTAATAACTCTGCACTCCAGGTGAAATATGAAGCGCCTTAATCTTATCTGGATCCAGCAAATCTCTTACGGTGTTAACAGCAGCCCGGGATGATGTATGAGGGGAACTTCCTTCTAACCAGGAGCCGGCAGCCTGGATGTCTCCTTAATTACTGCGAGATATATTACAAGGTGACCTCATCTTGATGCTCCGGTGAAATATGAGCCGCGTCTCGTTGTTGCCTCCTTCTATCGCCCACCGATCGCCGCATTGTTGGAATCAGATGGAGCTCGGCGTCGCTCATTCGTTTTCCGACGACCCGCCCGCCTGCACTCTGCAAACAATCACGTCGTGAAAAACGACTCCGGGGCGTAAATCGCCGAGTCCCTTTTTTTGTGTTTGGCTGCCAAAGTCCTGTGGAGCGTTGGTTCTTAAAGCCGGAGATGTTCAGAGCACTCGGCTGCAGATACAGTTTTAAAAAAGAGACAAGTCAAGAAGTCAAGGTGTTGATTTAGAAAGGAACGCCTTTATGAGAAGAAGGTTTTTCCATTTTTTCTGCAGTAGGAGGTGAAGAAAAACCTTCTAAAGCTACAATTCAATCCAACGAAACTGGTAGTTTGACTTTTAGTGCACGTATGTAGTCGTATCAGCATGACTGAAAGAAAGGACATTTTTTCAAATATTTTGTCACATATTAGAAAATACTGTTCCTGAACTGACATGAGTGCATGACAATGTACTAATATTTTAAGAAATGGTCTTTTTTTGTTTAGCAAAAAATCTAAAAATGGTGTTCAAAGGTTCAAATGATCAAAAGATGTCCCCAGATTTCCTTAAGTCGACTTAACTTAAACTGTCAGTATTAATCTTTCTTTAAAGTGATTAATTCTTTTTTTTCTTAATTCTTCTGAATTGTGTCTGATTCCACTGAACATGATGTCAAACCAAGTGTTAATCTGTTAATCTGTTAGTTAATCCGTGTGTGTAACTGCCACTTACACACTTAAAGACACAAAGTAAACTGAGTGTTGCTTTATAAGGCCTTTAAATGCAGAAGTTTTGGTGGTAAACTTCAGTTTTTGGCCGTCACCTCCTTTCCTCGCTGGCAGCCATATTGGGGGGGACTCCCTGTGGGCGCGTCCTCATTAAGGCGGCCTCCAGTGGAGACTCTCACCTCGGATGACTGGATGTTTTCCTCCACAAATATGGGCTATCCCACTATCCCGCTGGTGTGAGGACAAATAAAGAAAAAGTCCAACGTCTTACAGCGACACAAAGAAAATAACAGCGGCTTCTGTCTGTTTTTGTCCCCCACCCCCCAACTCCAGGTCGACCAACACCCCAGAGAAGACTTCAACCTGACATCTGACGGAGAGTTTAATGCCTTAAAGTCGCTGGTCCTGGGCAGAGTGCTCGGTAAGTGAGGCGGGAGGGACGAAAATACAAAGGAGCTGTACGGGTCGGAGCAGAAAGGTTTGAGGTCGACACGTTTGTTTGGAGGCAGCATCTGTAAAGTGCAGAAAGCGGCTTCTTGTTCTTCTTCTGGGGTCGAGCTGTGGCATTCGGTGTGTTCTTTGTCAACAGGCTTTGATTCATTTGTGTGCCACAGATTTTCCATTCTGCCCTCAAAAAAAGCATTTCTGTTCAGGCAGCAGCAACTGTGATTCATTTGGTAGGAAGAAAGAACAATAAATACCATAGTTCCAACAGGTCAGACCTAAATATGTGGAGGCGTGCAAAGGCAACTTCTGACCTTTGACTTATGATTTACTTTATTTAACAGTCTACTAGGAAACTTGTACAGAGGTAGAAAGCAACTTAGGTGGACTCACAAACCGGTTTTGTGGCTTTCATCTCACTCCCAGTCCAATTCCTAATTGTTTTAAAAGCAAACAGACTCAGGCCCTTCAGAACTGATCCAAACACGTTTACACTGGTCCACTTTTATCACTTTCATCCACAGCAAAGTCTAAAAACGCCGGAGAATTAATGAGGTTTAATGCAGCTGATGAGAGGCGGCGTGAGCAAACGGGGTGGAGGGGAAGAGAAAGACCAGCTCAGTTTGTGGTGTGTTTGTTTTGAGACGAGAAACTGACGAGAAGCAGAGTTTCGCAGGGCTTTTTGAAGGTAGAGAGGGGGAATATGTAATAATTAATTTGGGCTGCGGGGCACGCTGTTAAGCACTTTATAATTGAGCTCAAAGTTACAGCTCTAAATAAGCTCTACCAGGAGGGAACCCTCCGATCGGGGCTGGAGTCCAGTGGCTTAACCAGGGCTCTGCCTGATGATTAGACGGGATGAAGCTTTTCTCCTGCTCCATTATTCCTGCATGAGCTGTTAGCTGTTAACGAACGTGTGCTGTAACGTGAGCGTTGGACTGCTGTTGTTTACCAGCACGTTCAGGGCAGATTAGCATGAGGAGGATAAACCGCCAGTGTCTCGGACCTCACCCTGGCGGGACGGAAATGGGAAGCAGGTATCTTACAGATGAAGGCCCCTCTTGATGTCAGATGGGAGCCGATTGGCTCCGTTCAGCCATTCAGGTGTGACAGATCCAAGATTTTGGGGCTCATGTTGCAGGCTGCTGCAGCCCAAAGATGGTTACCCCTTCACCATCTTGAATCTCGATATTCAAAATATCTTGCAAGTGGTTTTTAATTTCAGGTTCATTTTGCAGCTGGCTTGAATATTTTCCAAAAGTCCAGAATTTCCCACAGAGGTGCTCCCTCTTGCTAATGATGAGTTCATGATCTGCAGTTGATTTGCTCTTCCCCAGCCTTTTCTTTTCTTCTTTTACGTCTGTTTACTTCCTTGTATTTGTCTGATTCTAGGCTAAAAACTAGTTCTGTAAGCTCCAATCATTTTATTTATCTTAGACCCTACCAACTGGTGTGTCTGGCTTCAGATTTGGAGAAACCTGACCTGAACATCCCTGATATTAGTCATTACGTGCAGCTGGATGGTTTCCCGACCCTCTTGAAAGCATTCGGGTGGTGACTGTAATCGTCTCTGTCATCATTTATTCATGCTCCCCCCCCCGGAGCGACGGCCTGAAAAGCGGTGGGAGAAATAAGCCGTAACACGAGGGGCTGAGATCAGCCACGTCTGATGGGACAGTCACAGCAGCTGCACACATTTAAACGCCATCACAAGGCAGATAAGAAAGGATCAGGTTTCTATTCATATAGACACCACCTCACTGGAGGTGTCACTTATGGTCTGTCAGAAAAAAGCTCATTATCTGTCAGTGTGTCCTGTTAAGCTCTGAAAAAGTCCTGATAAATAGTTATGTTATTACACATAAGTCAATTTTGTGTACAAAATGTTGTGGATAAATGCTCCTGGACTTAATGGAGGGCTTTGGGATCTACCATCTACCATCCCATCAGACCTGGGAACCCAAAATAAGCTGAGGAGTGTCAAAAGCTGGAAGATAATGGACAAATAGAAGGAAATGTGATTTTTATTCATTGAAATGATTACATTTTGGCGTTCCTAATGATCAGTTTCTGCAAAAAATGATCAGTTTCTTCCCCAAAAAAGACTTAATTTGACACAATAACATTAAATGTTAAGTAAAAAACACTTAATTAAGTTGAAATAATTCTAAATATTTCTCCAAAATGAGTATCCTTACAAACTCAAATCTCATTTTCAACCCCGATGTCAACGGCATTTCATTCACTTTAAATGGAAAAGGGAAAGCAACCTCCGTTTCTGCCGAGTCACATTAACATTCGACGGCAGACTGATTTCAAAGCCGAGCAGAAGGTTTTTACCACAGCTCAGTGTGTTTCAACCCCGTCGTTGTCAGCATGCGACCCGCCGTCCACTCCG